CAGCTCATCGACGATATCGGAGGAGGGGACTGTGGATTATCATCATCGATATGATAAGACTCTCGTATCAATGTGTGCGACTATGAGTCCAGATGCTTGGCGTTGTCGACTTGATCAATGAGGCTGATCCCTTCTGGTCTTGACGTATGTCGTTGCTTTTTATGAACTTTGGTTTGGCAATCCATCAATCAGATTTACTTAGAACTACAGTTATTCCGACTCGTGTCATCAACACGTCTGAGACCCAAGCAGTCGGCATTTGGAGCTTTGACATCTGTTGCACTTGCATGCTTTTCATATCCACAAGACCATCTCACCGACATGTCCAGTCCGTAAGGACATGAAACTAGCGTACAAAGAATGTGAAAACCTGTGTAATTAACTGACTACTACTAGGGCCATTTACGGCTGCACCTACCCTATCTTAATAGTGAGCTGCTGCTTTAAAGTATATGACATAGTTTACACTACCATTCTGCACGTACTAAGCATTGTTTAGTTACCTTCCTAGATAATGTTGTTACTTAACCTCAGTAAGTGCCCTGCGTAATTTAACCTCTTCCTAAAGTAAGGCTAAAAATGGCCTCCTCTTCAGGCTGACTGTGGTGTATGCACTCTACCTGTGCAAGCCTCTTTACCTCATTACTGTGTTTGGGGGCAATTCAGCACTGGTGACTGCAGATCATTGAGACTGCGTATGTGCTGCAGCTCCACTTCCTTAGCGTTTCCCTCCTTAACAGTCTTTTGTTCTCAACAGTCTTCTCTCCCCTGATATCTTCCCACCTAACAGCCCTCTCTATCCTGCATGATTCAGCTGCTGTCCTGACCTGTCTGCTGTCTGTGGTTGGCTTTTGGGTCTCTTTACTGGAAGATGGGCATTCCACCACTGCCCAAAGATGAACCTGGATTTCCTTTATATCCGCCCTAATGATTGCGACAGTTAAAGGTAGTAGCGGGCTTCTCATCATCCTGGTTGAACTGGATTGTTTCCAACAACGGATGTAGCTATGTAGAGCTACTGTACAAAGGAGCTGACCCGCCACGATCTTCACGCGCATGCTTACAGCAATTGGCAATTGTCTAGATATTTATACTCCATATACCCAGTGAGACTACTCCCATTCTATCTTTTTTAACATAAAGTAGTTTGCTTCAACTGCAGGAGCCATAAGACTGACCCTTACGCGCACGTCTCAACAGATACAGTTCAATGAGCTCGGGTAGAATGTCCAAGATCCGAGCTATCCAGATGAGTAGTAGGAATTCAGACTACTACGATGAGACAGGCTGATAACGCTCGAGACTACAACCTGAACTAACAGTTAGTGCTCGCATCGCGCCATTATATATATATATATATATATGTGATCACATCTGCACTAGGTCTTGATCCATGATCCATAAAGGAAGCTGCAATCTCGAGGCTGATATGAACGCATGAGGCATTACTAACGACCAAGCGATATAACCGCTCTGCGCCTCCTGCACGTGGGATGTTTAAGACGGCTCGGTCGAGACGGACTCGTCGAGCTCGAGGGGACCGAAGCGGAGCGAACAATAAAGTAGTGTTCTTGGTTATCGTATATTGCACCGCGGTTTCTTCATGACCTGATACATTTGTCATGTTCTTGTCTTTGTGCTATTAGGGCTCTGGACTCCCCTGCAATCGTTTATTATGAATATTTTTTTGGACATAAATTGATACAATCAGTCTATTAGTACTGGTAAGAACTTGAGATGGAGTGTCGAACTGCGCCATGATTCCTCAAACTCCCAGGCAGACATAATAGTCCAACTTCGACCATCCCCGACTGCAGGATTCCCCGCATAGAACTATTCATCAACCATGCGTTGGCATACATTAGATCCCTCACAATTCGAGGAGAAAGGGAAGGCACATACATCATCCAGCGAGATTTCATAAGCCGCAGCCAAGTCATAGCGCCCGTCTCTGTAAACAACCAGGTGGAACTTAACGCATCCTGAAAATAGGTAACATTGTACGCCCAACAGAGTGGCTCAGCAAGTCGAGCTCCAGTCGTCGAGATAGAGCCGTAGTTCAGAAAACTGTCTCCGCAGCTTTCATGGATATTCTACAGGAAACTCTACAAAGATTTTGCGCCGTTGGTCGTGCAGAGATCGATCAGGTCTTCCTTGCTGTGTAGTACTTGCCCTGTGATCTTGTTGGCTGTGACTAACTGAGAGCAGGTGATGTTCTGGCTCAAGGCAACACGTCATGCCTGAGGAATAGTATCAGGCAGGTCATCCGTTGAATACCATAGTTGAGCGAACCAGACAAGGTGCTGTCCCTAGAGACAACAGAAATGCCATGCGGCTGACATTAATGTAGGCCTTCATGCTGGCAAGCCCAACCACTACTGGTGTGAAAGACTTACCTTGAGCATCAAATCGTCGGAGAGAGGATTGATAAAAAATACTCCTAGTTCATGCGATCGTCTCTAGCTACTGCAAGGATGGCAATCAATGCTCAATCCACTCTGCAAATTATACTAAAGAAACACGCCAATAGCGCACATACCAATCTAATGGGTATTTGTCAGAATTAAAGAGGATTTTTCCTCCATAGTACCGAGGAGCAGGCTGTATATTGAAATAGACATATGAATAGCTAGAATAGAGTAGCTTAGAATAACATATATTTTTAAGGGCAAGGGGCACTATACCTAAGTAATGGTAGATGCTGTTCAGGAGGAAGTAGAAGCTTTAGGGCCTTAGGAAGGTCTAAAGGAGAAGCTTAGAGGCTAATCTCAAAGTGGGGATTTCGGGGATTTCTAGCTTTCTCTGCCGTTATTTCTTTATGATAAGTACCTTAGATGCACATCCAGGGCTCGTGTTGGTCTCAGCCAATCGGAATTGCTGTAGGACATTGTGTGGTCTTACAGCTGAAAACCTCCTTAGAGCAGACTACTAAAGCCGCCATCAGACAAATAAAGTTTTGACCACTAAGTCCTTGGCCATAGGTCCATAAGGCTGCGAAATAAACCCACTTCGGGGTAACTGGCGAATAGGCATAGTGACTGCACCTTGCCTGATCTACTCTGTATACTGAGTATCCTTGCACCTGGATCTTGATGAATCCAGTCTACTGTAGAAGGATAGACTATATGATCCGCATTTGGGAATATTGTTCAACCCAGCCTTGCAGCTTCTATGTAGCCAGCCGGCAAGAAGGACATCCATGTGCCATTGATAGCAATAAGACGGTGAAGTATTATCTGAAGCCCATAGGGCGGCCCCCTAACACCTCCCTCGCGATAAGCAGCAGTATTCATCCGAATTCGTTAGGGACCCACCCTCGCGGTAGTCAGTTAGAATCAATCATGTAACCACTACCCGTCGCTGCAATCCTAACTTTCGATTTACTGCTATAATATGCATAATCGCAGAATGACCTGACCAGAGGAAGACTGTTCACTGAGACACTGAGCAATGATATGAAATCCTACATCATGGACAACTTCAACATCCAAGTCTCTGAGGTGCTGACTTTCCGGGCTCTAATTAGGTTGTCTTACTGTATCGAGCTCATAGCAGGAGGCTACGATATGGTGCCAACACTCTTATTCTGAGCGCTGGCTCTTCTGCCCATCCTGCCCGTTTCGGGGTGTGATGTGCTAAAGGTACACCAGTCTATCGGCTTCTCCTGTCTTCGCTGCTTCCTTCATACTCATAAATTCCAATATGGAGAAACAAGCTATTTACACCTTAAAACAGCCTTCATCTCTCGTATTTGGCATTGAATTCATCCGCTACCTTTCTCGTCGTCCTGATGATGTCAACACATCCAGGAGAGTCAGAGTGGCAGCAGATTGAGACCGGATACGTTTTCAGTGGCAGTTGTACAACAGTTCCATCAACGGCCGTCACCGACTGCTCTTCGACCTGCTGTCTGACGTGTTTCTCAACATCTGTGAGGTTCCAGGGCTTCTTCTTCCGGTCAATCACAAGCATGCCGTTCGAGTCGTATTTCACATCGCCATATAGCTCGGCCCAGAACTCGATCCCCAGATCGTTGGCAGCTTTCTCCATCTGAGTGCCCGCCAGTCCAAACACCGGCACTCCGTTTGGAACTCCCAGCATAACCGCCTTGGCAACTTCGTAGTCCCGGCACATCATACCGTACAATACCCCATGAGGCTTTACATGGTGCAGGGGAACCCCTTCACGGTCCAGGAAGCCTTGGAGCGCCCCAACCTGGTAGAGTGTGATTGCCGTGAGCTCTTCTAGAGAGAGCTTCATCTCCCGACGACCGAACCCTTGCAGGTCTGGAAGACCGGGGTGAGCACCGATTCGAACATTGTGAGCTTTGCAATTTTGCACCGTTTCCATCATAATGAGCGGGTTGCCTCCATGGAATCCGCAGGCAATATTGGCGATATCGACCATGGGGAGGAGCTCGAGGTCAGGACCGCAGGTCCAGTTGCCGTACTATGAGTACATCAGTAATGCTACCACAACGAGCGTGTTAAGCTCAGGGAGCGTATATAATTACAGCTTCCCCCATGTCACAATTGATAAGTGCCTTCTGCTGTATTGGTGCCATTGTGCAATATATCGCAATCCGAACGAAGTTAGGAAAGCTGTGAAGTCCCTCAACAAACGGATGACTCGCAGAGAAAGCTTGGGGGAGCAGTCAAGCAATGACCAGGTGGCAAGCAATATAGATATGCCCCAAAATTCAGTCTCTTTCAACTCGCACGGCTGAATGGAACTTTGGACTGAGGGGTTCGGAGCTTATCAGTCATGACAGCATAGACGGATGCTCCGCATTTTCTCCAAATCTCCAACAAACGGCGATCACGGCCATACCCCACGACGATCATACCTTGTTATCTGGCATTGATCCTAGGATTTACTTTCTTTCATTGGAGTACAGCGCCGAGGTGTTCTCCTGCAGTGCAGATAATGATCCTCTTAAGCGGAGGGGGCCCAAGTTATGTTGCTCCCAGTCGCATCGCTAGCTGCTGCTCTGCATCACGATGGATTGTTTAAAGACTCTTCTCGTTGCCAACAGAGGCGAAATCGCCGTCAGAATTATCAAGACCGCAAAGTATGGTTACGCAAGCTGAAGCTGCTGATTGTCTCTGACGTTGTGATCCAGGAAGCTGAATATTCGTACAATTGCGATCTATACCGAGCCAGACGCTGCCTCTATCCATGTTCATTTAGCAGATGTCGCCGTTCTCCTCTCTGGTTCTGCCTCAAGATCATATATCGACGGGTGAGTCTTCTTTCCTCTTTTCAAGACTACTCTAACTTAGGAGTCTCCAGTGATCAGATTATTCGGATTGCAAAGCAGAATAATGCGGATGCTATTATCCCAGGTTATGGATTCTTATCTGAGAATGCAGATTTTGCTAGGGCTGTGGCTGCCGCTGGTTTAGTATTTGTAGGACCCTCACCTGAGAGCATCGAAGCTTTTGGCCTTAAGCATACCGCGCGAGAACTTGCGACGAAGGCCGGAGTTCCCATCGTGCCGGGATCACCTGGCTTGATCGAGAATGAAGATGACGCTGTGGAGGTGGCTCAGAAGTTGGGGTATCCGGTATGCATCGTGAAACCGGAGAGAAGTTTGCGGGGCTAATTGACGGAGTGTAGGTCATGCTGAAAGCCACCGCTGGTGGTGGTGGAATGGGCTTGCTTACATGCAATTCCGAGGCCGAAGTACGCAAGTCCTTCGCAACTGTCAAGTCCCGAGGTGAAGCATTATTCAAGAACGCGGGCGTGTTCATTGAGCGTTATTATCCATCCAGCCATCATATAGAAGTTCAGGTGTTTGGCAACGGGGATGGTAAGGCGATTTTTATTGGCGAAAGGGAATGTTCGATACAACGAAGGCATCAGAAGGTGATTGAAGAATGCCCGAGCCCTTTCGTCTCCAGAAAACCAGGGTTGCGAAAGAGCTTGGGTGAGGCTGCTGTTCGTCTGGCGGAGTCGACAAGCTATGGTTCAGCAGGGACGATAGAATATCTTGTCGATGATGAAACTGGCGCATTCTTCTTTCTGGAGATGAACACTCGCCTACAGGTTGAGCACGGGATAACCGAACTCTGCTATGGCATTGACTTGGTTGAACTCATGCTAGATCAAGCGGATGCCCAGCTTTCTGGGAAGAAGGGCGTTGAAGCATCTTTCCTTGCAAGCTTACCAGTGGAAGCCCCTTTCGGCGCCGCTATTGAAGCAAGAGTGTATGCTGAAAACCCGACCAAAGATTTTGCCCCTTGTCCCGGAACCTTGCAAACCGTCGAATGGAAGGAAATGCCAGGTTCAAGGATTGATACATGGGTCTATCGAGGCATCAAGATATCCGCCAATTACGGTATATCCCACGAACAATATCCTCTTCTTGGGTACTTTGGCCGGGCTGACAGAAACATTAGACCCCCTCCTCGCGAAGGTCATGTACCACTCGCCAGATAGACAGCAGACTATAATAGGAATGAGGGAAATTCTAGGAAAATCACGTATCTGCGGGCCTCCAACCAATCTGGATTTCCTGGTTAAGATTCTAGAAGAGGAGACCTTTGTTGCAGGCAACACATTGACAAGATTCCTGGACGATTTTCAGTACACCCCGTCAGCGATCGACGTCATTTCGGGTGGCGCCTATACGCTCATCGAAGACTGGCCCGGGCGACCGACCATAGGAAGGGGGTTTTGTCATTCTGGGCCAATGGACCCGCTAGCTTTCCGCATCGCGAATGCCCTCGTCAATAACCCCATGGGTTTTGAGGCTCTGGAGATTACCCTGAGCGGCCCAGATCTACGCTTCCTCGGGGATGCAATCATCTCCCTTTGTGGAGCGCCGATTGAAGCTAAACTCGATGGAGATGCTGTTCCAATGTGGTCAAGAGTCAAGGTAGCCGCTGGTCAACGTCTGACTATTGGTAAAACTACAGGAAACGGCTGCAGGGCTTACCTCGCAGTGTTTGGTGGATTCCTCAACGTGCCCAAATGGTTTGGGTCAAAGTCGACGTCTCCAGGTGTAGGAGTTGGAGGTTATCAAGGTCGGCAGCTTTCATCGGGAGACCTTCTCGCAATCACAAGCGTGATTCCGGAAGTCAGTAGTGATCTCCGTATACCAGAACACCTCATCCCCATTTACCCAAGTCACTGGGAGCTGCTAGCCATGCCAGGACCCTACGATGAGGCTATCTTGTTCACGAGAGCATCGATATGCTGTTTGAGTCTCAGTGGAAGATTTCACACAATGCGGCCAGAGGAGGCATCCGTCTCATCGGTCCCAAACCACGGTGGGCTCGCTCCGATGGGGGAGAGGGCGGCGCACATCCTTCTAATGTGATAGAATACGGATACGCAATCGGCTCGCTCAACTGGACAGGCGACGATCCCGTTATCTTTCCACAAGATGCCCCGGACTTTGGGGGATTTGTGAGCAGTCATACGATCGTAAAGGCAGATCTGTGGAAGTTAGGACAGGTGAAAGCGGGGGATACCCTGAAATACAAAGCAGTGTCTTTGGCTGATGCCCTGGATGCACGGAGGGATATGGAGAGATTCGTCGACGAACTGGTCCATTGCTGCCACCAAGGGCATGGGTTCAACGACGTGAAACAGCTGAGAGGCATGCCTGCCGAGCAGCCAGCTGAGACTCGCGGCAAAGGCGTGGTGCATCGGATTGAAGAGCAAGGAACCCAGCCCCTTGTGTCTTACAGACAGGTATGGTGCACTTATCGTTGGGTCATAGGGGTCCCAGCTGATCAACTACTTCTCTAGGCAGGGGACGACTATCTCCTCATTGATTATGGCCACGGGTCATTTGACTTGAACCATCGCTGCAGAGTCACTGCACTAAAGAAGGCACTCGATGAAGGAAAAGAGATCACGTTCTCGAATGGGCTCATTTCAACGGTTGGATGCGGAAATTGTAAGAACTTGTACGGGCAGACCAGGACTTCATAACTAACTCACTGTTCGCAGCGCTGATGCTGTACTACGACGGCATGAAACTCTCTCAGCAAAGACTAATCAGCTATCTCTGCGAGCTCGAGACAAAACTCGGAGATCTTAGTCAAGCAAAGATGCCGAGTCGGCTGTTCAGGCTTCCTCTCACGTTCGAGAGTCAAAGACAAAAAGATGCCATTCTGCGCTATATGGAAACACAGCGTCCGTACGCTTCGTACCTTCCAGACAACATGGAATTTGTAGCCAGAAACAACGCTTTCACAAAGGAAGAGTTCGAAAACATCTTCCTGACAGCCAGCTTGATGGTTGTCTCTGTCGGATTCTTCACTGCACTTCCGCTCGCCCTCCCTGTGGATCCTCGTCAGCGCATGAACTGCCCTAAAATGAATCCAAGTAGAGTATATACTCCGGCCGGCTCAGTATCATGGGGTGGAAGCTGCATGGCGTGAGTACTGTTCAGTAATACTGAAGTATCTAAACGTTGATCGCAATCAACAGGTTGTACAACGTCGATTCGCCTGGTGGATATCAACTGACCGGAATGACCATACCGGGCGTCGACATCTTGGGCTCGAAGAAAGGCTACAGCGCCGACAGACCGTGGCTCTTCGAAGAGTTTGATCAGATAACCTTCTACCGAGTCTCCGAAGAGGAATACGAAAAACAGCTGGCGCTGTTTAATAGCGGCCAATACGAATATCAATGGGAGGAGGTTGTTTTTGACATGACGGAGCACAATCGACTCTTGCAGGAAACCCACGACGAAGTAGCAGCCATTCGAGCACGCCAGCGTCGGGCGCAGGCTGAAATGGATAAAATCGAAGCAGAGTTGCTCGAACGCTGGGCGAAGGAAAAGGCCGAGAGGGGAGTATCTCAGGACACAATCGAGAGTTTACTTCAAGGTAGGCAATTTCAAGGACAATCGAAGAAAGTCGAGGCTAACATTGTACGTCCCGTGACACAGACCCCGAGATCATCGCAATCGAGGCCCCCTTGAATGCCAATGTGTGGAAAGTTGAGGTCAAGCAAGGGGACAAGCTGGAAGAAAGCCAGGTCGTGGTCATACTAGAAGCGATGAAACTCGAAATCGCTGTGCGCGTCGAGCCTTCTGCAGCGGGTGCCATCGTGGAGAAGGTTTTGGCACCACCAGGAGAACCGATCGAGGCTGGTAAGCCACTATTACTCGTGCGGAAAGTCAAGACCTGAAAGAAGAGTCGATAATGGTACTGTCTCATTTGGTTTGGCCCAAGACGATATGTAAATTATCTACGTAGCATACCGTAACCACAAGTACAAATTCTGGGGATCTCCAAGTCTACGACCAGTTAGACAAATGACAATCACAATCATTTCGTCGGTATGGTATCTCATCATCGTTCATCAAAGGGAAATGGAATTGGCTCGCTGAAGCGTCTATTCCCACCAGAAACTGACGCTAAGTCCAGCCTTGATGCCACGAGCATAATGCCACGAGGTGTTGTCAGCCATCAAACCACTACGCCAAAAAGGTGTCTAGACAATCATGCAAATGTGACAGAAATCAAGGATTGCTTTACTGGGTATTCTATCGGCCCACTGCCTTATCCATAAGACTCTCTGTATGACCCCAAACCAATTCCGGTATCCCCTGTTCCCGATACCGTGTCAGAACTTTTGTGCTCGGTCTAACGTCGCCCTTCCAATCCAAAAGATAGGCACCACTCCCGGTTTCCCCAGTAGTACCCGTAGCTACATCCCCAGCCTCCAGCGGAACTCCTTGGGACCCAGTGCCCTGCTTAGCTGGGTAGCGCGCAGAGCTCAGATGGAATAAATGTCGCTCGCCACTCTCGCTGAGATTCACGGAAAAGGGCCACATGAATGGCCACATTACGTAGTTGTAGAATGTTGAAACCGGTGCAGGGAAGCTATTGGTGTAGATGTTGGTGCCAACAAGACCGGGGTAGACGTGAATGAAACTGATGGCAGGGTGGGTGCTGGCGAGGTGTTCCATGCTCAGGGAGGTCATGGTAATGGAGTGCTTGTAGGCGTTGAGCAGGGAGAAGTTGTGCTTGAGGTCGAGGTCTGATGTATTAATGGAGTACTCAAAGCCTCCACCATAGACACTGACCACCCGGCTTGGTCCAGACGACTCGAGGAGAGGGAGGAGATTCTGGATAAAACGCATACGGGAATAATAGCGGAGAGCGAAGAGGTAGTCTATGCCTTCAACGGTTTCTGGTATCCTTTTGTCAGCTTAAGGTACTCCCCGAAACAATTCCCGTCCGCATACCATTTCGTCCCCCCAGAGAAATACCTCCCGGAGTCATAAAGAGAAAGTTCAGCTGCTTCTCCTGCTGGAGAATCTGCTGGCACACGGCATCCACATTGCGCACTAGCGATACATCCGCCTCAATAAAGTGGAAGCGGCCCTTGGGACTCAATTGCCGCAGTTCAGATAAGAATGGACTGGCACGAGCCTCGTTGCGACCGATGATATAGGCTGTAGGGCTGTCGGCATTACGAGCCAGTTGGCGCAGGGTGCTCCGGCCGATGCCACTGGTGCCACCAACAAATAAGGCAGTGATATTGGGGAGGGCCCGAATACCGGCGTTGGATGCTTGTACTGTCTTCAGAGATACCATTTTCAGATGTCAATGAAAGGAAACGAAGACCACCGGAAGGACTGTGCTATTATTTACATTAGACTTCAGACAAGCCACATCGGTGATCCACCGCCGAGGGATCAACAAAAGCGGGACCGCGCGATCCCTCCCGTCCGACGGCGCGAAATCCTATCCCCATCAACAGTGGCCATTCATGCATCATTTATCAGGCCTTGATCAACGTCTGGCGCCCGTTGACTCGGGTGAAGCGAGACTCCCTGATGGTGGCTGATACGGCCGAGATGCCGCCCGAGGACCTGCTCCTGATCAATCGGAAGTATTACAACGGACTGCATTCGTCCAACTTTGTCATTAAATATGATGGCCGATGGGGAAGGCCCGACGGATGGGTTGAGCAGTGATGGGAAGCATAGCTGGTGGTATATCGGAGATCAGGAGCCAACCGAAGCCTCGATTTTTCCCTCTTCAGGCCTCCGAAATGGAAGGGTAATCATCGGCACGGCGCATGGTGCGTTCTGTTTACCCGATCAGGATCAGTACCCAGCTCGTCAGAGCATCGAGTGTCGGTGTGTTGCTATCTATTGATGGATCATGTACTGGACCTTGGGCGATTCGATTTTCACATGCTACTATCCAGAACCCGTGAAATAGATGCATATGAACGCAAGAATGCTAGCTCAGTATATGGCCATCAGGCAGTCCCAGATACAGAATCGATCATCCATTGACATGTTGATGAAAATGGAGTGACACATTGCTGGACAGCTCGTGTGGCTACAATTGCTAGCTGATGCTCTAGACGATTTCTTTCTCCAATTCGGATACTGATTTAAAAAGAGACCAAGGCCAGCCATAGTGTTCTCGTCACCGACGACATCGCCTGGCAGCCTCATGCGCGTTCCGGGCCGAGCTGCGCAAGAAAACCGCATCACAAAAGGAGCATCGCAGCTTCGCCGATTCTCCCCTTCGCTCCCGCTGATGTCGGATCAAGTTACTTCGATTAGAAAACAATCGGCCATTGCAACAGGGTTCCCAACAGCGCAATGTTTCCGACCTCTCGGACCCTGGTTCTCGAGGGGGGAGAGAATTGTCTGGTTGGGTGGTGGAGGAAAACGGCTCAGGTTGGTCGCTGATTTTGGAATTTTGGTTGGGATGACTTGAGAAAATGGAATCAGTGAATTCTGAAAGTGAAATAGAATTGTGTTTATGAGCGAATGCTTACCTGGCAGACTGTAGCTCTTGTAACTCTTGTCGAAGACGCTGAAGTTCCGAGACGAGTTCTGTTTTAGAAATTGTACTTGATGCTGCGCTCTGATCTCGGCCGATCATCCTCATCCCCGGTCCTGTTCCGCTGGACAAACTAGCGGTACTACTGGAAGGGAACATAGGTTCATCTTGGAAAAGACCCCAAGCTTCGCTATGAAACTGTGTTAGCTGCTTGTCTCTTATTGCGATCATGGTAGGTCGTACCGATATGTGGCCATTGTGGTGGTGGGGTAATCTGGCAATAGACAATGTGGACAACAATAAGACAGTACCAACGCTCCCGCGGTAGCTGCATGGACTAACTAATGCTCCTTGTACAGTCTACCCTATCATGACTCCTTGAGTAGTAGTCCTCTTGCTGCCTTGACTTGTCTGCAGGGTTAACTAACAACTATTTACGGTAGGCTAGAAGCGAGTTACCAGATCCCATTTCTGGACTCCAGTCATAAAGCCTTCTGGACAACTTACCGCCGCAGGATATAGGATTGCATGGTTACATGTATCCTTGGCAAAGTAGAGAGGTATGACAATGACAAGGCCCAACGGGTTGCTTAGTGAGTGAGTGAGTGAGTGAGACGTTTGTCAAGCCAACACTTAAGACGCAACACTACTCGCTACAAAGAACGCAGTCAGCAATCAGATTGCCCATGCACTGAGAAGACCGGACGGGCTCCTCGAGGTTATGTTCGGCGGCTAGCTGCAGTATCCGATGTGTAGTGTGGGCGGATGAGGCTGAAACTACTTAATCTTTGTCTTGCCTGAAGGAGGGGAATGTGGCGTGCGTAAGTAGCACCTTGCTTCAGCCAGCTTTCGATCGCTTCTCTTCTCTTCGTCCATTCTGATCATTTACTCTCTTGTCCCATCAATATCACAACATGCCTCCGTGGAGTTCGGGAGGGAATTTACCTTTTTTGCCTCCTGACAATGAAGGTGCAGAATCGGCTGATGTGAGCATGGGAGAAGAGCAGCAGCAATCCCAGCAGAGGCAGGCTCAGTGCCAGAAATTGTGAGTAAACGTGTCGAGGCCGATGAGATCACCAACGCATTTTAATTACCAAGCTTTTCAACTCAACAGCAATAATCTGCGAGCATGCCAGTCATGCCGTGCCTCTAAAGTAAGATGCGACCAGGCTAACCCTGGCATGCCGTGTCTCCGCTGTCATAAATCAGGCAAGCTTTGCATTGATGCCGCGAGCCAACCAGGGAAGAGACAACGCCAACTCAACAACCGCATCCTGGAGATGGAATCGCGAATTGAATTGCTGTTGTCGTCCGCAGAAGTGCAGGACAGCGCTGTCCGTTCGCCTTCAGAATTGTCGCACAACACCCAACAACATGATCGGAACCCGTCCATGGGATCTGTGATATCGTTCAATGGTGGGTCTGCCCGGCACCAGTCCGGAAGTCGCGAGTGGCATTCATCGCTAACATGGCCAACCATCCGTCTGCCTGGGTAGGTAATTCTGGGATGGAAGATCTGAAATCTAGCATACAATTGTGGCTGGATGACAACATAACAGACCTGGATGATCGTACCACGGAAACAATATTCAGTCGTTATGTGACCAACATGGCGTCCACATTCCCAGTCGTCGTCTTTCCACCAGGCACCACAGCGGCTGACGTCCGAAGTAATAACCCTGTTCTTTTTCTAGCGATTCTCGATGTGGCATCGTCGGGATTCTGTGCGCTTGAAACTCAGAGGAAACTCCGGAAGCTGATTGTTCAGGCCTATGTACATTGCATGCTCCGAACCGAACAGTATACTCTCGGATTGCTCCAGGCCTTGATTGTGTCTGCCACATGGTATCGCACGATTGAGCCTGTCAAGCCTGGGGAACAGATGGACATCTACCAGATTAGTCACACCGCAGCCAATATGGCCCTGATCATGAGATTAGGGGAGAGTTTGAACGCCAAATCTTGGGGCGGCCCCATGTTTCCCCGGCGGGAGAAGAAAAAGGGTCCTGGCAGCGCCTTCCAGGCGGAGTCGCTGGAAGCTCGGCGAGTGTGGCTAGGGTGTCACTATATTTGCTCGAAGTAAGAGAGAGAAAGGCATTCCCGGAAAGCGCCCCGGCGTTAACCTAGTCTATGCAGTACCTCCATGTCCCTCCGCGCCCCGAACGTCATGAGATGGACCCGTCTGATGGACGAATGTCTGGAGGTATTGGAAACTTCCCCAGTGGCCCTTCCATCGGACAGGCTTCTGTGTCAGCATATCCGGCTGCAGCATATAACTGAAGAATTTGTGATGTATTTATCCACGGAAGAGACTTCTGCTCCTGAGAAATCACGAGCGATCCGGATCCAGGTGACCCATCGTGCTTTCAAACGGCAGCTCAATGAATGGCGCAGAGACGTTGCTGATGGTTGGGATGGTGCTCCTTCCTTTTTGTCCTTGATTTCCTGCCCGTCGACTGACATAATGTTGTGAAGAGTCCCTCGAGTTTTCATATTTTTTCTCATGCTTATACATGAACGAAGTGGTCCACTGCACAGCGATGAGTGATGATGTTTCCCTTGAAGATAACACCCAGCGCTTGACGCCACCACCACTGATCATGGCGATCGAGCCACATGCAATTACCGAGTTTATGGAAACGATAGACAACATCTTTCGAGTGTTCACCTCGCTGGATATGTCAACCATTCGAGCCCTACCCACAGTGTACCTGATTCGGATAATCTATACATTCATCATCCTGGTCAAACTATACTTCGCGGCAGCCAAACTACCAACTCAGGACGCTGTGTTGCAAGTTGACCAACTCAAGGTCTCTGAGCGCCTCAATCGCGTTATCCAGATGACCGCGGGATGGGGCCCTTTGTGGCCCGCTACGAAACTAACCACCGTGTTCATCAGAATGCGGTCGTGGATTGAAAGCGGAGAAGAGGGCAATCGCCAGAGGTTGCAGCAGGCCGGGTCGGGGCTCACTGTGTGGGAGTTTAAACCCCCATCCCATAGACGAGACGCGCACGCCATGAACATGGTCGAAGCCGCCTTGGATGATGGATCAATAGTCGCTTCCAGTTCACGAGGTCCGGCGTCCTGGGTTCCATCGCTGGCGTCCACGGATGTGGATACTCTGGCCTTTTCGCTTGAACCACCCCTCGGCACTGATTTCTCGATTGCCCCTCCACCTTTCCAGTCAATGTCCCGGGCTACCGAATCTTGTTTTCCTCGGAAGGAAGGCCCTGATTTTATGCAGGAGGAGGATGTACCGCTTGCGGCAGGTCAACGACTCGGTGACCTCCCGGATATAGATCAGATGGACGACTCTGCGTACGTCGGTATGGACTGGAGCCAAATCTCAAACATGGGCTTTGACTTGTACAATTTAGACGCGCCATTCTCCCCAATTCCTCCTCCTGGCTTTGATCCAGACGCAGCAATGCAGGAGACTTTCTCAGATAGAAACAAATGATCAGATTCTAGGAGTCTGTGTATGTTTTGCTTCTAGGTGCTGGCGGTTGGTTTGCTTCACTTGGCGTCCTAAACTTTGTATGTCTTTTGATTAGATCAACCAGTTCAAGACCTTTTAGATAAATAACAATCACAATCATTTCATCGGTATGGTATCTCATCATCATTCATCAAAATGGAAATGGAAATGGCTCGCTGAAGCGTCTATTCCCACCAGAAACTGACGCTAATTCCAGCCTTGATGCCACGAACATAATGCCACCATCCCACTGGAATATACAAGCACTCTCCTTCCTTCAGCACCGTCTCAACGTACTCAGCCTCCAAGAACCCAGGCCACATCGCATCCCACTGTTCGGACTCGGCCGGGGAGAGCTCAATGGCTGCCAGGTCAACCTGCGAAGTATTGGACATGTCGATGAGCTGAGTCTGCTTCTCGACCCTGGCTTCCGAGCCTTTCCCTTGCAGCTGGGCGGTATCAGACAGGCCTGCTGAGGCGTTGGACCCGGACGATGAATTCACTGCCTCCATGCCCTTCGGATAGATCTGCGAGGCCGGCGTATGAGGCGAGTAGAGCCGAATGTACTTTGCACCGACAACCTGGACCAAGATGTTGTGGTATGGATCGTGGTGAAGAGGAGATATGGTCCATGAGGGGCCAATCCAGGTGTTTATGATCGGGTCGCTGGGGACTCCCAGGACGGAGGCCTCGTCATCGGACGCTGCGTGATCATGTTGTTGCTGCTCGTGCGACTTGGTATGCGTTTCGCTGCCGCCTGAAGACGCATTGCTGGAATTCAGTTTCTCTTCTCGCTCTCGCTGCTTCTTGAGATAGACTGGCGTTCCTGGCTCCGGAACCGGAGGCTCGATGAAGCAGTAATCGGGGATGCAGATGTCCTTGCGCAGAGCCGGGACCTGGGAGAGCAGATCATGCTGGGCCATGTACCCTGTTTCACCTGTATCGTTGCGGTCGTCCTCGCGCTCCTTCCCAAGCCCAGACGTCTTGTCTTCTTCCCTCCAGAGAAACTTGTCGACGAATTCTCGAAACTCCATGATTCGCTGGCCCCATCCTTCGTCCGTGTAGGATCTGCCCACCTCCACGGGGACGAGCCTGCGGCCGCCGAGGGTGCGATCGAACCAGTAGTCGCGTGACGCCCAGGGCCGGGTCGACAGCGCAGGCCAGTGGTCCACCGCGTCGGTGATGACCAGCGGTGTTCTGACGTGCTGGATATGGTGTTCGATGGCATCGAAGGAAGGCGCCGAGATCCGGGGGATAGGATGTTTCAGGGTCGCCGTAGGCACAGCGTCGGGGGGGAAGAGCGGCGGGGAAAGCTTCCTGCGTTTGAAGGCATGGCCGTCGATTTCTGACTCACCGGCGTGGTCTTGGATGGAGCGCGGATCCGTCTTCCCTTCGCCGTAAGCTTTTGTAGCGAGGTGAAGAGCGGAGAAGAGCGATTCGACCAGGTTCTCGCGCAGGGGCGCACCCGTCATAATCAGTGCATTGTCGAGGGTGTGGATTGACGACAAGAGCCATGGCGCGTCGGGATCAAGTTTGTACTCGGCTTGCTCCCTTACGCCTGGAATTTGGTCGAGCTTCGACGCGTTTTCAGTGCCATCTGAGAGTCTAGAATCACTGGAATCGTTGTCTACTGATGTTCCATCGCACGAGAAGCCACAGTTGTTGCAGATAGCCAGGCACACTTTCGCAATGCTCGCGTCCGTGTAGAGTCTTCGCCAGCATGTCTTCACATCTTTGAATGGGAAAACGCGTAGTTTCGCGTCGGCAAGTTCGAGGGCATGGTCTGTATTCTTCAAAAGAAGCTCGCGTAGTGCAGCAAGATCGTTGTCGCAGCATTCGAGGATGGGATCTTGCGAATCTGGATTGGTGAGGGCGGCCAGCGCGTCGGCGATCACGGAGGTGAGATGCGTCATCTCTGCATAAGGAAGGATTAGAGAGTCATGAAGGCAGACCCTATCAGTTCTAAGTGAAATAGAGATCAGTGAGATGATAGAAGTAGGCTGAGGGTATTCTTACTGCAATTGTGCTTTTTTAAGTTGTGTTATCTCTCCTCTTCGCTCCACAGATTAATTGGTGAAGCGACGTCATTGCAAAGCGAGTACGGTGGAAGTGAATCACCATGCTACCAGTGTTTACACTCTGTGTTTCTCTTTTCAATGGAGGTAATAATATGTAAATCGGTTCCTCAATAAAAAAAAAAGCATTGACTTTCATTAAAATGAATTGAGTCTGAAGGGTGAATCCAAGTAAAAGAACACAGTCTAGTGAATCATACATCTATATATACACATATCTGAGAAGGAATTCTACCATATAGACCATTTCTACATATGGTACAAAAATCATCATTTCCTCAACTCCTCCCCGATACCATCTCTGATGCAACATAGGCTCAGTCTAGCAGCTCCAACACAAGCTTTGGAATTCGACTGACGCCCTCGCCTCTGATGGCACTTACGGGAACGGCGCAGACCTTCTCTTTCCAACCATCTTGGTATCCTCCTGGGTGGTCAACCGCGCCATTTTTAACGGCAGCGAGATAGTCTTGCAGGGCATTGAATCTGTCCTGAGTTTCTGGCAAGTCGGCTTTCGTAGCCACGACAAACCAAGGTTTTGTGTGAATAGGTGGAAGTTCAAGAGAAGGGAGCTGCCCTTTCGCGTTGTCAGGGGTATTCGTCGTAGAATTCCATGGAGAAGCCAAGTCGTCCACGGGATGTTGTGAAGTGAGTTCAGGCAGACCTCCTGTCGGTTGCCATTCATCTTCGCTTTCAAAGACAGGGTCAATGTTACGTATCCGTTCATATTCCCCAAGCTCGTGCCACAAATTTTGAACGCCTTGCACAGGGTCTCCTGCACTCAAATCTACCACGAAGGCCAGAATACCCGCCCGCTCAATGTGTCGCAGGAAGCCTAATCCAAGACCACGGTCGAGATGAGCGCCTTCTATCAGACCTGGAATGTCTGCTATGGTGAAGTTGCTTCGCATTGCCTTTCCCTTGGCCTCAACAAGCGGCCTTCCCTTGTGGTCGTCGATAACGACAGTCCCGATACTGGGGGAGAGTGTGGTGAACTCCCAATTTCCAACACGCGTGCGGCTGTTGGTCAATGAACGAAGAAGCGTGCTTTTACCGGCATTCGGCTTCCCGACTAATCCAACATCGGCAAGCAGCTTCAATTCAAATTCAAGCTCCAGGCGCATACCCCCTTCTCCCCTCGACGCGAACTTTGGCCGAGTGATCGAACGAGATACCCAGTGAGGATTGCCCAGACCGCCGACGCCGCCGGCGGCAAGCAAGATCGGCTTATCCATGGGCTTTGAAAGGTCGAGGTATATGGGCGCTTTGGGTTCCATAGCGGCAATATTTTGCCTTCGAGGAGGATTCCTTGGAAAGACCGTGGTCAGGAAATCAGAAGGATTGGAGCCCGGGTAGAGCACCCAGCGATCATGACGGACTGAGGGGAGCCCAATCTCATCGAGCTCGTCCACATCCACTGCAGGCACCTTTCGACGCTTGAGTTCCTCCGCCACTGGGTCGTATCGCTCTACCTCTCGCACGACTGTCCCAACGGGAACTTGAAGCAAAACATCCTCTCCTCGCCTGCCTCCTTTGCTCTTTCCTTGTCCATTCTTGCCCCTTCCGGCTTTGATTACTCCTCGACGAGCAAGTTTGTGCAGACTAGTAATGCCCTCGACAGCTTGGATATAGATGCTTCCGCCGCTTCCACCGTCGCCACCGTTTGGTGGACCTTCCTCGATGTACTTCTCACGCAGGAATGAGACACATCCATTGCCACCCGCCCCAGCATATATCGTGGAGCGACATTTGTCCTGAAATATGAACCGAGAATAATCGTCAGGCGGTGGATTCAGGTGAGAAAGGTCAGGCGAATTTTCGGCATCTTGAGCGGTGACTGATCGTTCCTTCGGTTGCGATGAGCCCCGGTCGCTGCTGTACCATCTACCACGTACCGAGGCGACTCTCAAGTAGGATATTTCTGTGGTTAGTGGTCGCGCGCTTCGTTGAAGGATAGAAGGAAACGAGAACAAAAGACTTGTTCTTGAAGTCATTATTTCAGATCGCAGTTTCGGCGTGGTTCATCCTGGAGAAGGAAATCTGATCTAGGACACAGACATTGATTTTGTGCAAGATAGCGACATTCCTGAATGTCCACTCGGAAACAAAAACTGCGATAATATGAGGCAAAACGTCGTTGGTGAAGCTTCGAAGCTCAGTTCTTGCGATAATGGCACGTGATAACAATCATTAACATCACGTGTAGATAGCGGATATACTGGTGCCTTGCAGCGTGACTGTAATCATCTGGCTTCAATCTCAAGCAGTTGCAGTTTGCATTGGATTTTGCATCCCTGTTCGTGAGCATGAAAATGAAAACCCCAGGTACCTGGTCATGATTATTGTGGCTCAACACAAAATGCACGAGCAAATCCAATCAGACCAGCAATCCTATGTCCTAATTGCTTGCTGCAATAGTAACAGAGTTATCACACTCCGTCGAAATTCTACATGTCAACTGCTTGGCATACGACCTTTGGGCCTAGCTTGGGGGTTTACACAGCTCTGATCGGACAAGATGTGATGATGACAGATCAATGGGACCAATCAATTGCTGATCTGCTCAAGCCCGTCAAAAAAAATCCTGATGTCAATTGAATATGTGACCTAGGATTCTACGTTGCTCAGAGCCTGGGTCTATCACTGGGCCCAGAATCATGGTCCTAACTTGCAAGGGCTAGATGCATGTCTAGCTCACCCTAGGTGCCCCGGACCTAGGGGAACCTCGCACACAAAAGTACGTGATTACCTTGCAAATACACCAGCCATTCTGATCGAAGATGGGGAAGTGGAAACAGTGATGCCAAGTACTTTTGTCTAGTCGATGGTGGACGCGAGGATCGACACAGCACTCCGAACAGCCGGGCTCAAGGCTAGAGCTGTCAGTGTTTCTCAGCCAACCACAAT